AAGAAGAAGAAGAAGAAGAAGAAGAAGAAGAAGAAGAAGAAGAAGAAATAATTACTAAATACAAAGAGCTGCAAATAGAAATGGAATGACTGTGGCAAAAGAAAGCAAAGGTAGTACCAATAGTTATAAGCACCGTGGGCACAATTCCAAAACAATTGAAGTACCACCAGCATTGACAAAATCACCATTAGTCAATTGCAAAAGGCAGCTTTATGCTCAACAGCTTACATATCTGTAACACCATCAAACATCCACATCTGCCTATCCCAGGTCCAGGACTCGATAAGCAGACAAAAATGCCAAACCTAGTCTGAACATCTGGCTCACTATGCGACAAATTATAATAAATAATAATAATTGCATAATTGGTACACTACCCCATAAAGTATGGTGGCTGAGGTCATACAATGAACTGAACTAAAAGAAAACAAACCGCATTCTGGGTATTCTTCATGTATAAAGCTATGCTAGAATAATGAAAATCCTTTGATGGGAAGTCTTCCTTGAGAAATCAGATTCTATCAGTAATATGTAATTCTAAATACCAGCAAGGGCATAGTATTACCAAGGACTTGTGCCATAGCATTAGGCTGCTGATATCTATTTTGCAATTTCTGTCCTGTTACCAGTAACCTTGGTTTATTTGTTTGCACTATAATTAGCATTCTGCAATCCTCCTTGTAAGAACAAAGGGCTATGTATGAGAAACAACCTCTGCTCCTGTATGGAAGGTTATGTTGGAAGAAGATGTCAGAAAAGTAAGTTTTTCCACTTTGCTTTAACTTTCCAAATATCTCTTGCCTTAGAAATACTTTATCATCTAGGGAGGATTCTTATTGCAAGCATATTAAACAGGATCCTTTGCCTGGATTAATCTTCTAATCTTTCATTTTTACATCATGGCACGTATATCAGTAACTTTACCACAAAAGGCATTCTTTTCATTTACTGGAGGTTTCCTTATACTATATCCCAGTTCATTAATGGCACTAATATCACATCAAAGACAAGAAAAGGTTTAAGCAACTTTGGATCTGATCCTATCTATGTATATATTTAAATTCATTCCAGCTTAATAGAGAAAATATGTATGAGAGATAAGCTAATTAGATGAATTAAAGTTAGTCAGGAAAGTTGTTAAAGCCCAATCCACAGACATTGACTGGGACAATTTAAAATGTCACTGCTTACAATTCTTCTACCCTAATTAATACAATTAGTTGAGTTGTGTTTATGTGTTTTGGTGGCCTCTTTTCTCATTATTAGTCACAATGTTATCTATTCCTACATAATTGGACCACTTTTATCAGTTTTTTTTAGTATTTCACTAAAAGTGTAAGCTATGTTCTGCATGCATAAGTAAACCTATTAAAAACATCATAACTAGTAGAACCCTCCACATATTAACAGCAATAAATTTGTTCCCTAATACTAAGAATAATTAAGAACATCTTATCTCTATCGACAAGTGTCCAGTAGATTTTTAAAAGACAGGCACACAGAATGCTCATGATTCATTTGCCATGACAGTTGAATATTACAATAGCACAAAACAGTCTGAAAGTCAGATTGCACATACAAGAATGTCCATTTATTTAATAATAAACTCATCGGATTTACTTTTGAGTACCTGTTATAACTGTTCATAGCTGCTGCAGCTCTTGCATGCTTAGAGAATATCCACTGAACGTCATAGGAGTCACTTTCTAGTAAACCTGCACAGCCACATTGAAAAACATCTAAAATCTCTCTAGGGTACAAATGTTTTTTTTATATTTCAGGTTTTCCAAAAATCTCCCAGGGAGCTATACTACTAGAAGTACAAATAATGTGTACTAAGTTATTTAAATGGGTGAAGAAAAATATCAATCTTTCAGTTCAAGCCACTACATAGTCAATTTTCTTTTGCCAATGTAGAGTGTGTAATTTCTATTCCCTATTCATATGACTTCTGTCTCTACCTAATTGGCTTTGCTGCGTGCCCCTAAAATTTTCCTTGATCATCTCAATCCACCTGCTTTTCCTGTTATGCCAGTAGCGTAAGAGTCAAATAGATTTGCTACGTATATCAGGCAGCTAGATTAGACTGAACATGCTAGGAAAGTTTTCTGCTTCTTAATTACTTTACCACTTTATATATCCTGTATCTAGTCACCAACAAAGAAATATCTCATCCAAAGAGCATATCCTGTTGGCTAATAATATTAATTATACATTGTGTAATGTGGTATTGGACCAGATTGTTGCAATGATTTAAACCTGCCATCTAGAATGTTTACTTGGAAACATATTTGGTGAATTCAGTAAGAGCTCCTTGAAAGGATATGGCAGTAAAATTAATAAACTGGTATCAGCGTATTTCCATAGCAATAGCTATGAACAAGTGACAAACATATCTAAATCAAACTATGGCCCATTTGTAGATTGAAAATTTAAAGGATGACTAAACATCAATTATATATAAGGTGTTTTAAAAATACGATTTTCCAGAAGGCTTAGCACCTGTTCAATTAGGCCTACCAATTAAGATGTTTCTGACTCATATAGTACCCAAATCATGAAAAATCTATAACTTAAAGGTACATCCTGGTAATTGATGTGACATGTCATAGTCACAGGGAATTACAATTGATGTAATCATCAGTTACACTGATACAATGTAGCAATTTGAATGAGAAGTTACCTTGGTTTGCAATCATTGTGGTACAGTTATAATATCTAAAACCAGTTCTACATCTGGCAAGTTTGCTTTGTTTTGTTTAACTATTGAGAAGCGAAGTACAGGTAGTTGTCCTTACCAACTTTGTTCAATGACTGTTCCAAGTTAGGAGCACAAAGAATAAAGAGACTTACAACCAGTCCTCGGCAGGGATGACAAATCAAGTCCTGGGGACTGGATATGGCCTGCAGGGTGCTTAGATCTGGCCCACAGGACCACCCTGAAAACAGCAAACAACCAGCCTGCAGTGCCTCTTCCAGTGAAAATGGAGCTTGGGAGGGCCGCATGCAGCCCTTGTGAGCTCCATTTTCTCTGGCAGAGGGTTGCAGGAGGCCGTCTCATCCGAAAACCAAGATTGGGAGCCCATTTACGCTGGCAGAGTGCTCAGGCCACCACAGGTGCCCCTAACATGAGTGACATCAAGCTGGCTATGCCTATTCTGGCCACGCCGACCCCCAAGGTCTCATACAACCCTGATGCAGCCCTCAATGAAATCGAGTTTGATACCCCTGCATTAAAGCATCCCTATAGTCATGTGATAGCAATTCAAGAGCTTGGCAACTGGTACACTGGCCACAACATCTCATAGTCACATGCTCACTTTTTGTGACTTCTGCAGCCGGCTTCCAACAAGCAAAGTCAATGAGGAAGCCAGCAGAAAGTCACAAGTCAGAGTTCTGTGGCATCTTTCTTAATGACCTGTGGTGATTCATTTACCAATCAGAAATTGAACTGACAAACTGCTGTTGTAAGTCAGGTGTAGTCACATGAATTCTCACTTTACAACCTTGCAATGTAGTGATGGAATTACTGGTCCAAGTTAAATTTAGCAAATGATGACAATCTGTATTCTAAGAAGATGTTCCCCAAGTCTTTTAATTGTTTCCCTATCTAAGGGGGGATAGACTTATATTATAAGCACTGTGATGGCACAGTGATTAGAATGCAGTATTGCAAGCTAATTCTGCCAACTGGCAGCAGTTTGATTCTCACTGGCTCAAGGTTGACTCACACTTTCATCCTTCCAGGTCGGCAAAATGGGGACCCAGATTGTTGGGAGCAATAGGCTGATTCTGGAAATCAATTAGAGAGTGCTGTAAAGCACTATAAAGCAGTATATGTGTAGTCTAAGTGCTATTGCTATATTTTATCAATAGAAATCCATTGCCTTTTCATATCCATATCAATAAGCCATAAATTTCTGGGAGAAGGGGATGTTTATTTATTTATTTATTTAAAAATTAACCACAATTTATTATGATATAAGGCACTGGTGTGCACAATTGTTTCCTATAGGAATATTTTAAAGTATACTTTACTTATTTTTTAAAAAATAACAAATTGCTTTATGTGTTTTTCTAGCAATACTAACCTCAGTCATATTCTGCATCTTTACATAATTGTCTTACAAGAGACTCACATCAGTAAATCTTAGTGCTCAATGGCTATATCTCTTTTTCACTACAGGTTATGCTCGAAGGAGGATTCAACCAAGGAGCTCTTGGCATCTTCATTTTAGCCAAACTATATCCAAGCATGTCATTTCTCATTTCTTGCCTATAGTTATTGAACTGAAACCAGATAACAAACACTATTGCTGTTAATCAATGTCTATTTAAATCATTTTAATGACATTGGGAGTATGTTTGATGATTATCTCCTGGGTTTGTTAGTAACATATACTAACTTTGAACTAATTCTTGCTAGTGACCTTAATGTGGCATTGAATCCAGTGAAGAACTCTTTACTTCCTCTGTTTTATTTTAATTATCTGTTGGTCACTTTTATTTCCAGCCTGCTTTCTTGAAAGATAAGGAAAATAATTACAGAGGGTAGAGATTAGCTAATTAGAATTGGGTTTGTTTGTTTTTAAAGTCTAATTGAATCAGTTAAAGGCTGCTCCTAAGACAAAATCATTTAGAGTGGAAATGGGTAGAAGTGCTATTCATTATATGTAAATCTCAAAAGATATCCATCAGAATAGTTGGTTTTAAGATTGATTTTATTATGATAGGGTTCATAATCATTTCTCTCTTAACCTGAAATTACATTATCAGGCTTCAGGTTTTAAGGCCAGAGCACAGTTATTCATGTGAAATTATCTCGGTCAGGAATACTCAATAGCCACTTTCCATTTTTATTTTTTTTAGCATCCTTGTAGTCTCTCAATGCCCTGAAGCTATTAGAAGTTATTAGAAAAAATAATAGGATTATTGGATTGAATCTAAAGAAACATTGAAAGACGCTGCTGAAAAAAAGAAAAACTAAAAAAAAGTAGAAATGGTTAATTAGAAGGTAGCTGAAGCAACAAACGATCAATAATCCACATATTTTCTTTTGTTTTTTTGCAATTTTTGCAGCTGAAAATGTCTCTAGGGTAGGGTGCTGATTTCAACTGAGACATAGGTAAAGGTAAAGGTTTCCCTGCACATACGTGCTAGTCGTTTCTGGCTCTAGGGGGTGGTGCTCATCTCCATTTCAAAGCTGAAGAGCCAGCACTGTCCAAAGATGTCTCCGTGGTCATGTCGCCAGCATGACTAAATGCCAAAGGCACATGGAATGCTGTTACCTTCCCACCAAAAGTGGTTCCTATTTTTCTACTTGCTTTTGAACTGCTAGGTTGGCAAAAGCTGGGACAAGTCCCGCCAAGCTGCCAACCTTTCTGATTGACAAGCTCAGCGTCTTAGCCACTGAGCCACCACGTCCCTGAGAGCCTATTCAGAACTAACATCTTTGGGTGATGACTATAAAATATTTATTTGGTTGGTCTCCCCTACTGTTGCTGAGATATCTGCCCTCAGAGCAGAGCTAAAGAATAATAAAATCATGTGTGAAGCAAGGAGGAGGGAATTTGACCTTGACAGAAATATTAAAAAGCAAATTTTGACTGGTGGGCTGTCATACTAGCTAGCCTGTATTACCACACTGACTTTTCCTTTCAGATACATGGCTAGTATCAATTTCTAACTTTAAAAAAAGTAGTAAATTGCCCTGACCGATTTATGTCCAAAACAGTCTCTTGGGCATTATTAGAAAATT